TGACCCTCTAATATGGTGATCTATAGATCCTATGTATCTGACGCATGTTGCTATGTGATAAAAAAAAAAAAAGTCCAGTTCTAACACTTTCCATACTGACCTAAAATTTTACATTCATACTGCAACAGCCAAATATATCCCTGGACAAATGCCAACCTGCATTCTCTTTACCTCAAAATGTTTGGGGTATCCTTTTACTGGAGATGTAATAAGGTCATACCACTTAAGTCCACAGACAATATCGGTCCCGATATGGAAGCTAGCCTTCATATTAGCTTTCGGGTAAGAGAAGTTAGACATAATAAATTTAGCAATAAGCCTGTGAGTGAGTGGACATGCCCCAAAGCTCCCTGATTATAGAGCCTCCCAGCTGAGTGGGGAGCAATAGCTCGGGTTTAGAAGAGGCTTTGCATAGCAAATGCAGCATGTAGAGAAATCTAATCAGCACCTTGCACTCCTGCACAAGCATTTACACGGATTTGTGCCTTGCACTTGATAAGCTTACTGTAAGCTTTACAAGAGATTCCCTCCACTAAAATTAATCAAAAGCTCTTGGAGACTGATTTCCATTTACAAGAGAGGGCACGATGAGTTTTCAGGTGAATAAATAATGATCATAATAAAGGTGATAGCAATAGCAGGCATCGAGCTGCTTTGAAACTCAAAACTCGACTGGGAGAAAGGGGACATTGGGGAGTTGGGTGTGGAATCTTTTTTGCTCTCGAAGTAAAAGGCAGGAGCTATTTTGTTAGTTAGACTAAGTCAGGCTTCTGTTCCGGAAACGTGACGGTGGTCTTCTCTCGCCGTCCCCGACTCAGTGCACACATGCGACCACTCACTCCTCCCCCCACCGGGATGCATCAGGCCACCGAGGAAAAATCGGCCTCTCTGCAACACTAACCACCCCCACCAACACACACACGCGCACACACACACACACACACACACAAACGGGCGGATAATCACTGCAAATTCACGTCAGCAATGGTTAACGAGTTTCATCTCCCCCTTCAATCAAAATGTGACTTCTAAAGTTCCTATTTTATGACGCCAGAAGGTGAATGGAGGGAGGGAGGAAAGGCTCCAGGGATGTCAAAGGGAGAAGGAGGATTTCTCCCCTTTCCTTGAAATTTTCACACGCAGCCCATTTGATTTTCTGCACCAGCTAAACAGGGTGGGCGAATGGGAGTGGGCTCCTGTCACTTACAAAAGAAGCTAAAAAAGGGGGAGAGGGTGAGGGTGGGAGTGAGTGAAATCCATGCATCACGTCCCTGGATTTAAGAATACTAAAAGCCCCTCAATCCACATTCTAAATATCCAACAAGCTACAAGAGGAGCCACCAGCTGGGGCCGAGGGCTCTCATCCATTGCCCGGGGCGATTCGCCTCACCGCACAGCTGCCCACCGGGCGCAGAGAAGCGCTACGGGCCCCTCTAGCTTGACTATAGGTCTCCCGGCGCTAGGTACCCATCCCTGAGATCTTGAACTTCGCCTCCTTACTTTCACCCAAATCTGGCGAGTGTTAGGAAAGGCGCTAGGAGAGAGCAGGAACCCAGCAGAGGGGCTTGGAAGGAGACGATTAGGGGCGCGCGTTACCTGCGAAGGTTCTCGAGGTCTCCTTCCAGCCCTGGTGGTAATCCCGCTCAGCGCCGCGTCCTCCCCCCATCCAAACTTTTGCTCGGTGCTCCGGGTGGCGGCGACGGTGGCGGCTGCTGGAGCCCGGCCCTGTCGCCCGCAGCGTCGGGGCGCGGAGGTGCGGAGGCCGGAGCCTCAGAGCGGCGCGCGCCTCCGCGCAGCCGGCCGGCGCCCGGGCGCCCCGCTCGCCTCGCTCGCTCTCGCTTTTCTCCCCTAGTGAGCCGCGGCATCGTCTTCCCCCGTCCTCCGCCACCTCCGCCTCCAGGGCTCGGGCATGCCACTTTCTCTCGGCTCCGGCCGCCGCGGCCCCCGCTTCCTCTCCTCCTCTGCCTCCCCCTCTCCGCGTCGGCCAAGCCAATGTGTCCCGAGAGAAGGAGGGCGAGCGGGGAAGGCTGCGGAAAGTAGCCCCCTAGGGCCGGGGCTCCTCAGAGACGGAGGACCCTGGGGGACGGCCGGAGAGCCAGGCAGGCGCGCCTCCGACGCCTGAGTGCCCACCGCTCCGAGCCCGGCGAGGGGCGCTGCGCGGGGGCGAGCACCGGGCTGCTCCAAGTGCCGCGCTGGCCCGGCGTGGGTCCGGAGGCTGCTCCGACCTCACTGCTGCCTCAATCCGACGCGGCCCGGCTAATGTAGGAGCCGCGGCCCCCACCCCCACCCCTCCTGACACCCCCGGGAGATGTTTACAGTAATGAATTCGCGGGATCGCCTCCGCCGCTCCCGCGCTCCTCCTCTCCCTCGGTCCCTGGCGCTCTGGCGCGCTCCCCTCCTCGAGCCCTCTTTCTCTCTCTCCCTCCCTCCCTCTCTGGCTCTCAGAGTCCCTCCCACATTTCTGGTTTAAAGAATGCTTGGGAGGCGCGGCTGCAACCCAAAGCTTTCCAAGAGGCAAAGTCAGACTAGGTTTTTAACCCTATCCTCCCTGAAGAGAGTTGCACAGCGCCGGGGCTAACAGCAGCACGGATGTCACCCTGACAGGCACGCCTTCTCCTCTCTTTACCGTGTACCATCTCACTCCCCAACTCTTAGGGATAATGCCCCCATCTGAGCGCTGAAAGTCGATTTCTCCCCTGCCCACCGGTGTTGTACTTCCAAGCCAGAGGATCTAGTACTTAGACGCTGAGAAATGATCGAAACATGAGATTAGGGAGGAAAAATATAACAAGTCTCTCAACCAAGATGGCGTTATTTCAAATGCAGGCAACCTTGGTGACTTGCCCCCAACCCATCACTAGTTCCCTGATCCAGGACTTTCTTAAATAACTTTAATTGAGAAAATAATCCAAAGTTTAATATGATTATTTTAAACATCCCGTTTTCTCCCTTCACCCTGGCCACTGGAAAACGCATTGTTCAGTTTCTCCATAGATTACAGCGGACAGCCAAATCCAGCCTCAAAGATTTAGGAAACAGGCTTGACAGCCAAAGAAGCTTCATTTGTACACAGGCAACCTTTCCACTTCGCAATCTCTTTGCAAAGGTTAAAGTGTAATGTTAAGAAAACCAGGTGCACGTCTCTTTCTTGGGAGGAAAAAAAAAAAGGTTCTGGTTTTCTCGCATTTCATTGCGGCTCCTCCTGCCTCCAGTAAGTTGCTGTCATGTTTTAACAAGTCTGTAGAGAGGCTGAAACTGAACAGAACAGGGAGAGCGAGCTCGCGCCAAGCGCCGGGCTGCGCTGAGACGCGCCGTCGGTGGGCCCACGCGAGACGCAACCGGCGAGCTTGAAGCTAGCTCAGGACCAACTCCCTACGGATCCGCTCGGCTATCGCAGCAGACTTGCGCAGGGGCGGTGGCCACGACCGGCTCGGGACGATTTCCCTGTCCTCAATTCAAAGCCTGAGTCACTTGGCACCACTTTCCCAATTGTTTTTACTTCCTTCGCATCCCTGTTGTGTCTACCGCCTTCACGTATTTGAGCGCCTAAATCATGTTAAGACAACTTGGAGAAACGCCAGGTTTACCTCCCAAGCACAAGCCACGCACGGACCCACCCAGACGCACGCCCGAGACCCACTCTGGCTGGCACACGCGCTCACACAGAAGCACACACGACCCAGCTTCGTGCGCGCAGGTCGCTGGCCCTGTTGCTTTATTCAAAGATGGCTAGAAAAATGCCGACACTTATATTTACATTAGCTCCTCTACTCCCCAAACTCAGTGTGCAACTAATAAATACCCGGTGGAGGAGGGGGCATGGCTGGGGGAGTTAATTAGACTAGGACAGACAGTGAGTGCCATCTTGCTGGGAGCTTCCAGGAGCAAAGCGCCAGCGACGACAGCAGCGGTGACCTCCGCCTCCACCAGCAGCTGCCGCTGGCCACAGTCCCACGCGCTTCAGGAGTTTCCTGGGTATCAAGTGTGGGTACAGCTTGCCCCAATCACCCTTTTCCCCATACTTCTTTTCCCTGTTTAGTGCCCCGACCTCAGCTGGCAACCTTGATCTTGGGCCTGATTACAAATAAGAAGTGATCGCGCCGGCTCTGAAAGCGCGGAAACGAGCCCAGGACTGGTCAACGCAGCGGAGGGATCCTTCCCGGCGGCTCCCAGCCCTGGCGGGGACGCGCTGGCAGCTGGCGAGGCTCTGCTCCCGCCCTCCTCGCTGTCGCCCAGCCGCTGCGCTCAGAGCCTGGGGCGCGTTATCCGCCCCCTGTCCGCGTCCCACGCATGCGACGCAGGGAACACAATCCCAGTTCAGCCTTGAGTGCTCCCCGCGCCTTGGCCCTGACTGTCGCGCCCAGCAGACGCGCCGCCCTGAGCTCAGTGCCGGGCCACTGAAGATCAGCCGGGCTGGAGAAAGACTTGATTTTGGGAAAAGCAACCCCCTCCCCAACTGGAAGGAAAACGAACTAGCACCCTATGCATCTTCTTAGCCACTAATCCATCCGGGATTGCGGGCAGGGGGCGCGCTGGTGGCTTGACAGACAACCGCCGGCTAATAACGCTGGTGACATTAACAGCAGATGGAGCGGGCGCGGAGGTGGGGGAGTAGGAGGGTGTTACTCCTAGAAGTTAACAGATCCATTCTGGGGAAATGAGAAGGTGGACTCCGGCAAGCTTAGTGGCTCTAGAAACCCCAATTTAGAATCCACGCTCCCAGCAAGCTAACAAATTTGCGTTTTGACCCAGAGTTCAGTTACAAAACTCTTTAGAGGAGGTGAATTCGACTTGCAAATAGACCTCCCTAAAGTCAGGAGAGAGTTAAGCAGCTTATTCTCTCTCTGGATAAAGATAAAAGCCTAAAACATCCCACCCCGATGACCACCTCCCACCGTTTCAAAGAAACAATGCCCCCCCTCAAAGAGACCGCGTGGTCCCCGCGTAGCGGCAGCCGGGGCGGCTACTGGAAACTCCACCTGGCACCTCAGCGCCTTTACCTGGCGGTCGCGTCTCCTCGCAGTGAGCTCATCCGAATCCGACAGGGTCGGGGAGGTGGAAAGGGAAGAAGCTGGCGCGGCAGCAGCCGGGCTCCCGGGGCATGGTATTGTTTTAGGGGTCTCCGCCAAGGTCCCTCCTGCCCATCGTTGAGAACTGCCAACCTGGTCCCGGGGCTGGGTGGACACGGCGGCGGGCGCAGAGCTGCCGCCTCGCCGCTACTTGACACCCGGGACCTAGGGCCAGAGACGCACCCCGGGAGGAGCAGCGCGGCGCCTTGGAGCGGAGATTGCGGCCGCTGATGTTATCTCCGCGCTCTGGTACCTCTGCGGTGGCTATGGAAGATGCAAACTCGCAAGTGACGACCACAGGGTTCGAACGTACAACTAACTACAAGGTACCCAGCCTGAGACAGTATGTTGCTTTTCCCCTCCCCCTCCTCTCCCTCCTACCAGGGAGGGAGCTAACTTAACCCTGTGTGCGCCCTGCGCTGTCTGGAGAAGCCGGAATCGACTAGGAAACCGCAGGCGGCGGCTCCTGGGGCGAGAGCTTTGTTCACGTGCGTTTCCAGTGGGTGTGTTGCTGTCTGGGGGCACTCGCGTGGCAAGACGCCAGTGGCAGGCTTCCAACCCCAGACTCCGACATGGGAAGGAGTCGTAGCGTTTCATCCGGACCAGACTCAGCCCTCGGAATCTATTTTTTGCCGCCAGTTACCAGATTTATCGAAGTTGCCCGCGAAGTTGGGTTTTATTCCTCTATTTCTGCCCTCTCCCTGGCACCCGTATTATTTCCTTTTCTAGCGGTGCTTTGAAGATGTGGACTCTCCGCTCGTTCTGACTGTAGCTTTTAACTGTTTTGCGTGGGCGAGACGACTTGTGGAAGGTACCCACCTACCCACGCCCAATTTAAATGAAACCACCAGCTGCCTCCCATCCACCCACCCAAGGCCCGCATAAACCAAAGGACCGCATATTCAAATAAGACTAAGACGCCGGAAGATGGGGGAAGGGCGGGCTTGAGGGATTTTGAGATGTGAATGGGGAGATGGAAGGGTGGAGAGAGACAGCGATTGAGCCTTAGAATGGAATAAAAAGGAGAAATACAAACAAAAATGACGGTGCAGAAAATATATCTGAGTCCCAACGTTGAAAGCAGCAGGTCAGCTTTAAGAACCTAGATTTTGATCGGCAGTATTTCTCCAACTCCTCTGGAAGTGGTAAAAAATAAATAAATAAAAATAGAGAGTACGGGACTCTCCACCTTGGCCACCCAGATGCTTCGCGTTTTGTAAACGGCTGTGACTAAGCGCTCTAGACTCCCAAGAAGTTAACTGGAGTTAGAGGTGAGTCCTCGTGGACGCCGAATGGAAGCTTAGACAAGAGAAAATTGATAGCAGAGCGCCTCTGCTGTCACCGTCACACCCAAGTGAGCCAGAACGTCGCCCAGAGCGCAAATTCAGACATCTTCAACCGATGCCTTCTTTCTCCAGCTCCATTCCCGACTAAAGAAAGAAAGAAATACCGAGCCTTTAAAAATCATTCAGAGGGTAACACGTGGATCTTGCGGAAACTGAGTTATTTTTAAAAAGAGACAATGTGTTTCTCCACTGGGTAGATGTTCTAATTTCTCTCGGCAACATACCGAAGCCAATGGGAACCTGTAATAGCCATTTCAAACGCCTCCTCGAGCCAGGCCAACCCTTGAGGCAGCGGGAGAGCCGTTTCCGCCCGCCGGTGCAGAATTCCGTTGTAAATCCTTCTAGTTTGCCAAGGTGGCAGCAAAGCACAGGGATAGCTCGCCAGGCTGCGGAATCAATACGAAAGATCACATTTTTAGGACAAATACTCATCTACCTGCTTTTACACATCCATCTTCGTGTAAGTGTACATGGGTTCCTCCTTTGAAACCTTGATCTGAGATAACAGTATAATTATTTCATCTTTAAGAATATATTTTTGAGAATGTATTTTAAGAATATATTTTTGGTTAAAGACAAAATGGAACACTACAGGTTTTGCTTTCTGATTTATGCTGCTGGAAAATGAATAAGATTCAAAAAGGGAGGGGGCTGGTTGCAGATGTACCGAATTTGTATTTTAGATTCTTGCTGTTTCTAAATTATAATAAAACAATATCATTAGGATGCTCTCCCTTTAAAGACTATTGGTGTGATTATTGTAATCAGGGCAAGGAAAACTAAATATGGAAGATATATGAACAGAATCGCTGTAACAAATTTCTTATCCACATGACCTATGAGTCAGTTTTAGAAATGTGTGATCATGGGGCCAGAGGAAGCAAACGAATAGTAAATGTGGTTCAGGGGCTCCAGAGTGTAATAATTTTGCAGACTCACAAAACTGTGATAATTAGGTTACTTTATTTTTATTGAGAAACTATCACTGACACCTAAGGGTGGAGAAGTAGAGAAACAAAAAGAAAATCTCTGAGCTTCAAAAAACAAAATCCAGCTTATTAGTTATTCTTAAGACTTCAATTCTGAATGGAATTTTCACTTCAATTGAAATTTGACTGCCATCTCAAATCCTTCAGTGCCTTCTCTCCATGTTTCTTGTACCTTCTTCCTCTATACGTGCACGTGTACGATGGCCTGTCTTTCTAATCTTTGGTGAAAGTAAAAATAACTCAAGGTTTGCTTCATAAGATCACGGTTTAAGCCCCAGGCACTGAAGATTTTCATCTTGGGTAAGTTCAGCTCCGAGCCACTGTTTACTCATATATAAAATGGACGTAAAAGTACCTGTTCTCCTACCCTCATAATACTGTCAAATCACGTCAGTATACACAAAAGTGCTTTAGAAATTTCAGTTGTTTTTTCTAGCAATAGTATCATTACATCACACGGTCCCAGCCCTCAAAACATAGGAAAATTACATCAATCTAAACATAGTCAGTTTCCCCTAGTGTTATCATCTTCTGTTACCTTGGAACATTTATCAAAAGGAAGAAATCAACACTGCTACGTTGCTGTTAACTAAACTCCAGACTTTATTCATATTTCATCAGTTTTTCCACTGATGTGCTTTTTCTGTTTCAGGATCCCAGCTAGGATGCCATATTGCCTTTAGTCATTGTGTCTCCTGTGCTCTGGGATGGTTCCTCAGGCTTTCCTTGTTCTTTGTGACCCTAAAAATTTTAAGGGATAATGGTCAGGTATTTTGTAGAATGTCCCTCAGTTTGAGTTTGATGTTTTCTCATGATTAGACTCTAGTTGTGGGTTTGAGGAAAGACTACCACGGAGATGGAGTGCTGTTCTCATCACATCATATCAGGTGGTACATGATATCAGCATGATGTCACTGATGATAACATCGTCACTAAGATGTTGTGTGCCAGGTTTCTCCACTGTAAAGTTATTTGTCCTTTTCAATACTCCATCCTTTGGAAGTAAGTCACTAAGTCTAGCCCACCTTATGAATTTGGAACATTTACATGAGCAAAATAAGCATTTAGTGTGACTCGTAAACACTCCAAATATCGAATTCACTTAGAAATAATCTCCTAGGAAATTCCTGCTGTATTCTGTATTCTTAGGAATGTGCTCAACAATCTCTTTTTGGTTACATGTTTGAAGCCATCTTCAACTACCCTGTGTTTTACAATCCCCAAACCCAGTCATTCCTAAAATCCTGTTGATTCTTTTCTGAAATGTCTCCTTCTTTTCCGGTCCCCATTGCCACATATGGTTGGTTCAGAATTCCAACTTCCCTATGAAAAGATGACATCCATGACCTCTTATCCCTCTCCCTTTCATGGTTTTCCACCAGTATGGTGCTCATTTCTTTCTCCTTTAAAGTGGCGTTTGCTATCTACATGTTTGTCTCTGGGCTAAATCTAACTGTCTCAAAGAATTGAGTTGATCTTACTTTTCTACTCTCCTGGTAAATGCTCAAACATGCTTAATGACTTCAAGAATAAGCTCCTCTAGCAGGTAGAGAGAAATGCATCCTTTCTTCTAAGATGAGCACTACTGTAAGGAAATCCATGGTTAACATGGTTAACACACTGTGGAGAAGTGGCTTTTCATTTGTCTCATGAGTAAGAAATACTTCTAACGTGTAACACCCTTTTTGTGAGCGTGGCTGGATTCATGTGAATGTGCGACACTGAAGTGCACGACACTGAAATGCACACCCTTCTACTTTTGAAACTACAGTATATGGTTCATCTATTCGTCTAACAAACTTTTGTAGGAAACACAAAACATGTAGCTGACCTTTGATGAATAGACTCAGTCCCTATATGTCAAAACTCTCAGTCTAGTGGAGACACATAGACAAATAATTACACACTCTTTAGGTAAATATAACAATTTAGGTGTATGCAAGGTACTTTAGTGCCCTGAAAGAGATTCTCTCAAGAGGGAAGACTTCATCCAGTGATGAAGATGTTCTTGTGACAATGGACTGATTTGACAGGGGACTTTTGCGGTATTATTTTTATTTCCAACCTTCTGCATACAGCAGCCCCAGGTACCAACTGGAGTCCCCTGTCTCGTGGAAAGCACTTTGGGCCAAAAATTAAAAAATCAATGTGGAAGTAACTGCTTGAATATCCATTTCCCCAAGCTTTAGTTTCTTTGCCTTTCCATGAGGGTTACAAGATGATTATGCGTGAACAAAAAGAGAAGGTACATACTGACAGGAAACCAAAGCATGTTAAACCATGGAGATTTCCTCTTACATAAACCTGCCATTTGTTAAGCAGTTGCTCTCTATTCCAAAGGGAAGCTGGCAGAAACTTGAAGCAAGCATTCTCCAACAGCATTGGGGAAAAATCAGCGAGGGAAGTGCCTTTTTAGAAAGGGTATAGGGGTGATATAAAGATGTAAGCCATTTTAAGAAGAGATGAAAGATCTATCCAGGGACTTATTCAAACCTGGAAGCTACCACTGTAAAAAATGTTCTTGAGCCTTCTATGTCTATTATAGTTCTGATGAAGAGGTAGGTGCTGTTTTAATCTGAGAAAACACACTTAAGTGAATGAGGATATAAGATTCTGAATATGTATAAAACTTGCCACTACACTGTATATATATCTCTATACACACACACACACGTCTGTACACTTTCTACTGTCTATAGATATATTAGAAAAATAAAACTGAATCTTTTAGAAAGTCAGAGACAGTTTTCGAGACTGATTCTTAGTATGAAAAACAATTATCCTTATCAGTTAAGCTTTGTGCAGCTACAAGAGTCCTGAACTTGAACTTGGTACCTCAAGTCTCCACCACTTTATCAGGGAAATCGCTTAACTATGTGAAGCCTCAGTTTCTCTTCTATCAATATGGAAAACTAAAACTATATTTTAGGGTAGATATATAAATGATAAATGAGTTATTTCAAAGCTCAAAATAAGAATAAATTGTCATTATGTATATAATTATTGTGTTTTACAGAACATAATTTAACGTGATCTATATTTTACTCCGTATAACCTTAAGCCATAGATTTTACTTGTGCTGCTATTTCTTGCTTTTCTGGTAACCTAGTTTTACATAATGTCCCAGAGCTTCAAAGAGACAGAACTGCTTAGTTTCTGCACAATTGCTCTGAACAATATTTTCAGGTATCAATCACTCTTTGTTACCAAATTTTGAGCTACTCAAGAAATAAACTTCCTCAATCTAGAGAATTCTTAGCTTATCTTCTCACTGCATCATTAAAAAATTCACATAAATTGCTGTTGGCCAATTTTCTCCCGTAGTTCTCCCACTAAGCTAATAGAAGTAACTTTTTCAAGGTTTTCAAGTGATTCTTTTCTTTTTTTAATCTTATTGTTGGATTATGTTAGTACTTGAGTTCTCTGCATTTAGTCGTCTCATTTGTTTACTCAGTTGGAACAGCTTGGGTTTCAGGTTTACCCTTTCTCCACTTGAAACATTTTTGCAAGATAAAATTAACACTAAAACATGAAAATAAAATTTAAAGAGAGAGTTCCTTATAGATAGTGACTCTTTCTCTGTTGCTCTCTCTCGCCTTTGAACGTTTCCATTGGTACAATATTTTGTAAACAGGCTAGGAAGTCATATACCATGAGTGTAAGTAAGTTTATTAGCATTTGATTTTTACTCTTTATCAGTAGTACAGGGGCAGGAGTTAAATTCTCCTTTCTAAAAACTCAAGTGCCATTGGAGATCACTAGTCTGTGTTGTAGGTTGACAAAGGTGGTGGGGTTCTTGTCACTGAAGAAATCATTAAGAGCTTGATTTTTAAAGGCCTTCCCATTTTCCTTGGTGTTTTAAAGAGATGTTTAGTAACTCACAAGCACAACATCAAACTACAGAAAGATCTGAATTGTTCTGATCTTGGATTCTGTATTTGTTTTGATTTCTAGGGATTCTGCTGTATTTTCATGTTTATGCAGTGGAGTTTCCTCTTCTTTTCACTTAAATTCTTTGTAAATGGTATAAAGTTCAATTTTTAAGCACAACAGATACAAGAATATGGATTATAGATCAGAGGTGGTAGAAAGTCAAGCAGTTAACATTAAAAATATCTCTATTTGTAGAGCCTTTATCCCCTATAGCATTTCTAAATTATTTTACCCAAGAGCTCTCCACACCCCCACCACATGTCCCAGGTCACAGAACCAGTGAAGCAGCCAGTAGTAGATGCCAGGTCTCCAGAAGCCTGTCCAGAGATTAACCCACTGCCCTGCTGTATATTTTATTCTTTCATCAGCAGGAATTTTTTTTTCTCGTTATTATAGACAATGTGAAAGGTATTTAATTTTTTTTCTAAATGTCAAAGAATTAAACGCCAGATTCCTTTAAAGACACCATGTATTCCTCATAAGTCTGTCCTAAGCAGATGACCCTAAAATTATAGAAGTAAGCCTATAAAGGCTAAAGAAGCCTCAACATCATTAGGGAAAAGCAAATCAAAACCACAATGAGAGACCACTTCACTCCCACTATGAGGGCTATAATAAACAAACAATAAACAGTGTTGGTGAAAAAGTAGATAAATCAGAACCTTCACACAGTGCTGATGACAGTGTAAAATAGCACAGCCACTTTGTAGAATAGTTTGGTGTGAAGGTTTCTTAAAAAGTTAAACATAA